TCCCTTTTGGGTCTCTATGATAAAGTTCAAACTTGTTTGGCCCTGGTTATTGGGAAAGAGAGTAAAGCGTCAGTGAATCTAGAGGCCTGAAGCATAGCAGTTTAAGGTTTAGGGTTTATCAATAGGATGGTCATAGATTCCTCGTTACAATTTTTAGCAAGACACGTACCACCAATTGACCTCAAGAGGATATTGGTAATTACATCGCATATTCCGCCTTTATCTTGTCCCTTTGATTCCTCATCATTCGTGATCATCCACGCCCCTAAACCCTAAACCCTAAACAAAGTCCTAAACCCTAAACCCTAAAACCCTAAACCCTAAAACCCTAAACCCTACACCTTAAACCCTGCACCGCTGGTCTTGTTTCCCTGGAAGGATGCGAGGAAGTGGGAGTAACCAGCGCAGATGTAGAAGGCCGCGCCAGCTGCAGAAGGGTGCTAGGGTTTGAGGGCTTTAGGCATTATAGTGGTGCAGGGTTTAAAGGCTTCAGACCTGAAGGACTTAGGGTTCCAATTGTTAGGGTTTAAGGGCTTGAAGCTGTACCGGGGCCCCAAAAGTAGGTGAAATAACAGCCGAAAAGCCGCAAAAACAGCCCAAATGGCAGTTACTATAGTATACCCAAGGCCATGTTCTATCTACTTAAGGGGGACTATAGGACCATAGGGTGTAAGGGTTTCAGATGCTTCGGTGTTATGGCTTCTGCATATTCGGGTTTTAGGGCTGGCTAGAGTTGGTGGTCATTTTTGATACTATAAACAATCTGCATTACCCTACTGGCAACTAAGTCGAGGGACTTAGGCACTTGGGTTCAGTGTCCAGGGCTACTCAGGGGTCAGGGTTCAGGGCTAACTTACTCAGCCAATAGAAGAACTTGAACCTTTTTGGGATTCCTGTTTGGGTCTTCATAATAAAGTTTGAGCTTTTTTCGCACTGGTTATTGGGGAAATCTTGCCAGAGCCCAATTGGAAGGAGTTTTGTTCGATATGGAACCTCCCCACCCGCCTATAACACAATGGGATTATCTAATCTCAGGTTGGGAGGGAATATGAAGATCAGCTTAAACCCTAAACCCTAAACCCTTAACCCTTAGTCCTGAACCGTACACCGAAACCCCAAAAAGCCGTAATCTGTCCTCCAGCATATGTAGAATAATGGCTTCTTGACATATTAGAGTGGTTATCAAAACTATGCTCCTTTCTTTGGGTACCCTAAATTTTAGGTGCCGTATTATAATAGGGATCCAAAAAAGGACTATACCCTCAGGGTCCAAGGACTCAAATAGTGGGGTTCCAGGGTCCAAATACTATAATGTTGGTGGTATTTGGGCCCTAAAACCCTATTATTTGGGTCCTTGGACCCAAAACCCTAAACCCTATATAGTCCCCCTAGAGCCCCTATATATATATCCTACTAATACTACAGTAGTTTCCATTTTCTTTTCCATTATCCCTATAAAGGGACCATAATTCTGACCCACCATGAGGTGTTTAGGGTCATTGTTTTATCTGATCTTTATAAGCGGCCCAGGAAGCCCTAAACCCTGCGAAAGTCCCAAACACAGAAAACAAACAACCCTAAACCCTGCCTAATTATACCTTCCAAATAGCCACCATAATAGCCATAACATGCAGGCCTTTTTGGGCAAAAAAACATCATTATGTACAGGTCTGCGGGAAGTCTAAATACAAACGCTGAGAATTATCGATTCTCTCAACCACTCACTCTGCTACCCTCCTTGGCCCCCGCCTCTACTAATTTGAAGGAACCCTGAATGAGCTGAATCAATGAGGAACCTTGGCGGGGGTAGTATGAGGGGGTGGTAGTTAGGACACCTCACAACAGCATCCAAAACCTGTGAAGTGCGAATTCAGGCGATGCTGCCCCGGTTTCGTCAACATTGTCACTCTCTAGCGGCTTTTGGGCACGCCAGAATAGGGGTTGTTTAGCCTGTAGGGGAGAACTACTATTTTTGTGGTGGCAGGTTCCTTGTTTATCTATGCCAGAGAATGTGTGTGTATGTGTATGTATGTCTGTCTGTATGTATGTCTGTATGTCTCTATGTCTGTATTTCTGTATGTCTGTCTGTCTGTATGTATGTCTGTATGTCTGTATTTCTGTATGTCTGGATGTCCGTATGTCTGTATGTCTGTATGTCCGTATGTCCGTATGTCTGTATGTCTGTCTGTCTGTATGTATGGTTTGGTATGGTATGTATGTTTATACATACAATGCAGGGTTTAGGGATAGTGTTTAGTTTCTAGGTGGATGGAGGAAATCTTGCACCACTGAAGAGCCCAAGGAGAATGTCTTTCCTAGGATGTCGGTATACGGTTTATAAGGTCGTGCAAGATCTCCTCGCACACCAGGACTTGCTTGGACCTCAAAAGTAGATTTATCGCAGGACTTTCTGCATTGACCACAAGCAGAATGCCAAATCAAGGGATCTCGTCTTGTATACTCGGTGAGGAGCACCGACTGGGTCGTGTAGGATGTTGTCCATGAAGAGTTGTGTTGCTCTGAGCAGATAGGAATAAGCTGTCCATTTCCTGACCCGCTACAACCACTGTAGATTGTTGCCAACGTATTTCTAGCATCGTATCCAAAACTGATTTAGTCCGAAGTAGATTGTAGATACTTACATTTGGTTAGCAGGGATTGGAGGAATGGAAAAGAAAATGGAAGAAACTGCGTCGTTTTGCATCATATACGGAGGGATCCATTCCTTGATTCCTTGCCAACCAGGGGAAAGAAAAAACAAGTGTTCAGCAAGTTGAATAAGTCTGGTCTGTATCTGTGGGTGTTTGGGGAACAGAGGCTTGAGACCTTGCGCCTTGAACTGTAGGGTAGCTGTAACTGGAATAGTAACATTCCACTATCTGCATTTGAGGGTTTAGGATTATATGCTCCCATGGTCCACCTATCGCGAAAGAGTTTCAACTCACATAGACGTCACGAAGAACCGCTGGAAGATGAGTTTCATCTTACAATCACCTTCCCTCAAAACTAAGATCACATAGGGGTTAGGGTTTACGGTACAGGGGCTATATAGGAATTATATACATGATATTTGGAGAATCAAATGGAAATTTCTATGGAACATAGACTTTACATCCTGGTCCTTTCAAAGGTTCCAACCCATGTGGTCCCTTATGTGGTTTAGGGTTGAGGGATTAGGGTTCTAACCTTGAGTGGCACCCCTAAATTCTATACCCCATGCCCTAAGCCCTAAACCTTACATCCTCTACCCCATGCCCTAAGCTCCTAAGCCCTGGAGCCCAAAATCCTAAACCCTAAACCCTGAAGCCCAAAATCCTAATCCAACTTTTTGAGGCTCGAAGCCACGTGTACTCCTGAGACAGGTGCCTTGGTGTTGGCACTTGGCACCAGTAGGGGTTGTCTAGGGTTTAGAGCTTGAGAGGGGTAGGATTTAAACCCTAGACCGTAAGCCTTGAAATTTTAAACCCCAAGCTCTAACTCTGAGACCCTAAACCCTATGGTTCAGGGTTTAGTGTTTAGGGTCTCAGGTCGAGCACTCTGGTTGAACTCTGGGATTTAGGAATTAGGGTTAAGGTTTTAGGATTTGGGGTCTAGGGCTTAGGGTTTAGGACTGAGGGTTCAGGCTTTATTGTCTAGGGCTTAGGGTTATGATTTAGGGTTAGCGTTCTGGATCTGAGGTTACGGCTCGTGAAAAGGTTTACCCGGGGGGTATTGGGGCACCCATATTTTGAAGGGAGTCTCGGATTGACGTCACTGCCTCGCTTGCATTCAAGGGTTTCAGGTTGGACCCTAGGGACTGAGTTTAGGGTCTACGGGTGTGGGTTTAGGGCTTAGCGGTTGGAGTTTAGTGTTTAGGGGTTAGGGTTCATGCGTCGATTTTTGACCGACTGATGACCATGTTCTTCTTTTGCCTTTCTGTACCATTTCAGTTATCCTGGCTGGAGGGCTTAGGGTTGAGCCTAAACTCGAACTCTAAACTGTGAGAGTTGAGGGTGAGGATGCTTTGAACGAGCCTTCGGCGACAAGATTTGTTCAGATCAGGGCTTAGGGTTTAGGGTTGAGGGTTGAGGGTACTTGGGAGAGCCATTCAAGTGTACGACCTTAAGGTACAAGCTTTGAACCCTAACCCCGAAAGCCTAACTCATGAGTACCTTCAACCGTGCAGGATGGGTTCAGGGCCGCTTTTGCGATTTATGTTTTGAGCATCTACGGATGAGCTTCGAGGGTTTGAGGAGCAACGGTTTAGGGTCTGAGGCTTTAGGCCGTATGGTTTAGAGTGTAGGACTTTATGAGATGCAGGGTTTACAGCTTGTATGATGTGGGCTTAACGCTTAGGACTTAGGGTCTAGGAATTAGAGTTTAGCATTCAGAACGTGAGGTTTCGGATTTAGGGCTTAGGGCTTAGGATTTTATGAGTAAGGGGGCTGGCCCTAAACCCTAAACCCTAGGGACCATCGAGTTGCAAGTTGCGGCCTAAGCTCAGCAAGTCCTGAACCCTAAACCCTAAGTCTTTGTAAAGAAGCGGCTACCCTTTGAGAAGCTGAGAACTGGCATGAATGATTAGAGGGTCTGGGGTTTAGGGCTTCAGTTGAAAGATTGTGGTTTAGGGTTTGGGGTTTAGGGTTTAGGACTCTCTCTCTCTCTCTCTATCTCTGTGTACGCAATACCTGTACCTGCACAACCTAAGTCCTGAACCCCAAATATGCCCTACGAGACTATACCCTAAACCCTAAGCCCTAAATCACGCCAAAGCTTCAGGTCTACCAGGCAAAGCGAAAGACCACCGACCTTGCGGCAGATTGCGCAGAGGTTAACAAGCCCTTCCGCTCGATGTACTTGACTTTTTCGGCTTCGGGGTTTAAGGGGGTTATATTTGGATTATATTGGGGTTATATAAGGGTTATGTTGGGTTATATTGGGATAATTGAAAAGAAAATGGAAACTTAAGAGCCTCCGGCTCAGTCCGCCGACCCAGAGGCGGAGAAAGCACGAAAGCCTAAACGCGAAACCTTGAGGGTTTTCAGCGGCTGGCACGAGACCAATAGATAGGCGCAACCAGAC